AGAGAGCCCGATGCGGGACTCGATCCCAGGACTCTGGGATCATGACCTGAGCCGAAGGCAGACGCTTAACCATCTGAGCCACCCAGGCGCCCAATAAATAAAATCTTTTAAAAAAAATAGTTAAAATGGGAATTGGCTGTATCTCTAATCTGACCATGTATGCATACATATTTTGTCATCTTATATCATATACATATTATATATACACACATACATAATCATGTTAGGGACACATCTTACTTAATGGGGAAACAATGGAAGAATTCCAATAAAGGTCAGGAACAAGGCAAGGATGCTTTCTATTTTTACTACTTTTTAACATTACATTGGGGGAATTATCCAATGCAGTCAGAGAAAGGAAAACAAATAGAGGTATATAAACTGGAAAAGAAGTATAAAACAATTTAGTAAGGTGTCAGCATATAAAATTTACACATAAAAATCAACAATCTTCATATACATGAGTAATAACAAGTCAGAAAGTGTTAAGGAATAGAATATCCTATCTATAAACAAAACAAGATAAATTCTTAAAAGCAAACTTGTTAAATGTACAAAATCTCATGTGTGGAAAAATTTAATGCACTTCTAAAAAGCACAAACATGGACTTGTGAACAAGGGGAAAACTTCCCTTTGACTTAATATCATAAAGATGTCAGTTGTCTCCAAATTAATAGATTAGTTAATATGATCCCAATAAAATACCAACATTTTATGGATGCAGACAATAATAACAGAAAAATAAACATGCAAGAATAGAGAGGAATCACGTCATTCCCATTAAGATGACTACCATATAAACAAAAAAACAGAAACAAAATAACAAGTGTTGGCAAGGATATGGAGAAACTGGAATTCTTCTGCACTGTTGGTAGGAATGTAAAATAGTGCTCTGCTATGGAAAACAGCATGAAGTTTCTTCAAACAACTAAAAATGGAATGAGTATGTGATCCAGCAATCCCAGTTCTGAGTATATATCCAAAAGAATTGAAAGCAGGATCTTGCCCTCTTTATTACCTCATAGTTGTACTTGATTCTAGCTTGATGTCAGTGACTTTTAGTGACTTAGTGATGTGCTGATGGTAAAATAACTCTCTTGCCTAAGTTATCTGATGTACCAGTAATAACAATTCACTAGTTATAAGCCAGTTATTGTTCTAAGCATATTACTGGTATTAATCATGGAATTTTTTTTTAAGATTTTAACTAATCTATACACCCAACATGTGCCCAAACTCACAACCCTGAGATCAAGAGTCATATGCTCTATCAACTGAACAGCCAGTCACCCCGATCCAATGAATTTTCACAAGAACTATACAAAATAGGTACTATGAATGTCAATGTTTTAGAAATCAAAAAGCAGTGTAACAGAGGTAGGGTTATTTGGCTGAGGTTACAGAGTATAGAGGTTCTAGAACCAGGGCTTGAACCCATGTACTCTGCCTCTAGAGCCCAGACCCTTAACCTCTACACTAAAGGGCAAGTGGGGTTAAAGCAGGATCTTGATATCTGTGCAGCCATCTTCATAACAGAATTCACCATAGCCAAGAGATGGAAGCAATCCAAGTGTCCATCAGTGAATGAATGGATAAACAAAATGTGGTATAATTATATATATATAACATATATAATAGAATATTATTCAGCCTTAAAAAGGAAATCCTATCACATGCTACAGCATACATGAACCTTGAGCACATTATGCAACATGAAATAAATAAGCCAGTCACAAAAAGACAAATACTGCGATTCCACTTATATAAAGTACCTAGTCAAATTCATTGATGATTGATGTACCAATAATAACAATGATGGTTGTCAGAGGCTGGGAATGAGCATTGGAGTGTTTAATGGACAGAGTTTCAATTTTACAAGATGAAAAAAGTTCTGGAGATAGGTGGTTGTGATGGTTGCATAACAATGTGAATGTAAATACCACTGACTGTACTTAAAAATGGCTAAAATGGTAAATTTTATGATCTGTGTATTTCACCACAATTAAAAATTTTTTCAAGGAAAAAAATAAGATGGCCTTCAGTTTCCCATAGAATAACGCCAGCCTGGGCTCCACCCCCAAAAAAGTGCCTTCTATTTCACTTCATACTGCCAGCAGAAGAGCATATTCTTGAAGAAACACTGCCTGCCTCACTTGCAATTGCTGAAACTGGAAAATAAAGGCATTTCAAAATGAATAGAAAATGGCAGGCATTATATTATAAAAAGTCAACAAAAAATGAGAATATATTTAAAAACCTAACTATGAAACAAACACAACACTCCAACCCCAATTGAATAGTCTTAAACAGTCATTTGGTGTTATGAAAAAATATTGTCAATCAAAAAAAAAAAAAAAACAAAAACCCAAGAACAAAAGTGAACAAAAAAGATATAAGACAAGAGTTAGTCAAAATCAGGAACTGAAGAAAAAGACAAATCATCTTTTTTTCAAAAGACTAATTTATAAGATGTCCAAGGGAAAGACTTTAAATATAATAAGTGATATTAAAGAAAGGAATTAAAAGTCAAGAAATAAAAACAAAATCAAGAAAGCAATAAGAAGGATCAGAGACAAAGTGCTACAGAGGCAAAAAAAAAAAAAAATCCAAAATATATTATATATAGTCCCTAAAGAAAAAAAGCAAAATAATGGAACAGATGTAATATTCAAAATTATAATACAAGAAAACTTCCTTGAAATAAAATGTGAATCTACACATCAAAAGGGTTTCATGAACTTAGGGAAAATTGATATGGAATGGTCAACTGTGAGATTTATCTTAGAAAATCAATTAGAGTGCGCCTGGGTCAATCAGTCGGTTAAGCGCCTGCTGACTTAACCGATCATTAACTGATCCCAGAGTCCCAAGATCGAGTCCCACATCAGGCTCCCTGCTCAGCGGGGAGCCTGCTTCTCCCTCTGCCTGCCTCTCCCTGGGCTTGTGCTGTCAGATAAATAAATAAAATCCTAAAAAAAAAATCAATTAGATTTGAAAGAAAAAAACCATCCAGGCCTCAGGCAAAAAGATGAAATCATTTAGGAATTGAAAGAATCAGGTTGGTATTTTCACAACATACGAAGAAAGGCAGCAAAGTTTTTAAAAACTCAAGGAAAAGAACTGTGAACCAAGATTTTATATCCACCTGTCCTTCAAATACCAAAGCTATAGAAATCAGTTTTAAATATGCAAGAACTCAAGAATACAGTATTCAGGAACCTCTCTTGAAGAATTTACTAAAGAATGAATTTCATCCAAATAAAGACTAACTGGGGGGAAATTCAGAAAACCTTATGATGGGGAGCATTAACTATATTAAGATGTAGTTCTTTAAAATAAAGGTGGTGGTAAGAGTGGAAAAAATAGTATGCAAATTGTTTCCTAAAAACGACTAAAAAAAATGGGAGGAGAGAAAACAGAATAAAATAATTGTGGCTATATAATAGGAGAGTCAAGATATGGCTGACAAATGAAAATACAGATTCTGAATGAGAAAAAGAAATTTGAGGACACAAGAAAAGATACAAGTGTAACCATAACCAGTGGAACAAAAGGACAAACATTACTAAACACCAAAAGTAATTTTAAAAGTTTTTCATTTATTTGCTTTGGGTTGTTTTTTGTTAGCACTTCCTTACTTTCTGGCACTACAAGATGCTCCAGGTTCACCTCTTTATTTCCTTCCCCAGTCCTAGCATCAACCATTTCCCCAAGAAGCCTGATTCCTGGTGTAAAGGGAGCTGAACATCCACTGGAAACCCAGTCGCTCTGGTGCTCTGGACAGAGGAGGAGTCTTAAACACTCTCTCCAAGGCTGATTATTGGGAAAATGAAGAGAGCCAGCACAGTGGCAAAAGGGCTAGAAGGTCCTGAAGCACTCCGGTGGTTAGAAGATGCCTTCCTTGAAGGAACCGCTCAGCTAGGGCCAATCTGGCCACACCCTCTAGATTATACTATCTTGAATGGCGAGAAAGACGTGTGATACAGTAAGTTAACAAGAACAGGAATAATCCAGTACACTCTAGCGTCTAAAAAACTGCCCTATCCAGACACCCAGAGTGATCATCTGAGGACATACTGCTGTGAGGACTCACATCTTGTTTACCCCCTAGCAAGCTCTCCCAAGCAGTTGCCTTCCAAGCTTATTCTCTATTACCACACAGCAGTCATCTGGTCCACAACTCTCTGTGGACACCCACCTCCAGCCTCTACACTCGTTGGACAACCACAGGGAGTCACTCTGTGATCAAATCGATTTTCACAGTGCCTGAGTCAGAAGAGTGGAATCTTTACAAGGTGCAAGCTATATTCCAGGCCTTACCTTGGAACTTTGAAGCTAAACCAGATAAACCCCACAGCTCCTCTCTGATGTGTCATAATAGGTGTTCCATGGTATTACTTCTATTACTATTTTAAATATTATTTTAACCCCCACATATATTCATTCCTGGGTTTTGGCTCCAAAAGTAAAATTTTTAAAAACCACCCAAAATAAATAAATAACCCCACGTGGTTATCCTTTCCTTTTATGTACAGTTTAACAGCTAACCTTTTTCTTCCCATAATTCCTTCCAGTTAACCAGTTATAATTTCAGTGTGTTTTTCAGTCCTTTTTCTCAATCTATATATTTCACTGTATGTACAATACAGTTTTATGAAGGAGGTTGGGAGGGGTGTGGAAATCAGTTTGTTATTATTTTTGTGCTTTTTTTTACTTAACAGTATGTCTTGGTGATCTTTCTTGTTAGTACACAGATCTACTTCACATATATAGTAATGGTTGCATTATATTCAAGAATAAATGTACCAGTTTTATTTTAAATGTTTCACTGTTATATAAACAAAGCTGCAGTAAACATCCTTGTAAGTATATGTACACATACAAAGGTATGTTTTTAGAGTAGAATTGCTGGATTAAAGAATCTTCACATTTAAATTTTTAAAGGGGGTTATGAGAGAGATAAGAGAGTCCCTGGAGATGCCTGAAGCCACAGAATCATCTGAAGCCATCCGATCTTTTGTTCCCCAGGTACTTTAAAGGCAATTCCACCAGAATATAAATTCCATGAGAGCTGGAACCCTGATGCCTTACCCCAAAAAAGAATATCAGGGCCTAGAACATGTTCAGCATCTCAGCAATCACTGAATAAATGAACACATGTAGGCCAGTCACAGGCATATTCCTCAACCTAAATGCAAAATTTCCATGGATTTTAGAAAGACCACAAACATCAAAGAAATTTCTCTTTCAGAGATTTGAGTTATCTGGAATTGCTCTGGGGTCCTAAATTTCCACCCCATCTCATTCTTCCCCCTTTCCAAGTCACCAGCTTGAGTCCCTTCACATACCCACGACCTAGACCTACCCCTTAGAGACCCAAACCACTTGCCAGTCCCAAGAGAATTTAGATAGAAAACCTAAAATTCAGAATTGCTCTTTATTATAGGTGACCAAAGGTAAGATTCCACTGTACCAAAGAGAATGGGAAATCATTTGAAGACAAGCTGAATTAGGTGGTTTCCTGAAGAGTACTAAAAAATGGAAGGAACTCAGCTGACACTTTCTCCAGCCTGCCTTGAAAGGAGGAGCAAAAGGGCCCAGGCTACTGGAGTAGAGCATTACTGGAAGGACCTGTAGAGCACATAATCCTGTCAAGGAAATAACCCACTAATCTGCCTGCAATTGGCCAACAAATACTGTATGTGAAACTGTGAGCCAGTAGACAGACACATTCACAGTGATCCCAATGGCAAGACTGAGCATCAGAAATAAATTAGGCAAAAGTTATACCTGGCAGCAAGGGAGTTATGTACAAAAGTTCAAAGGAAAGAGTATACTACTTTAAAGGACCCACAGGTGGTTCAGATGCTTCAAGGGGCTAAATGAGGCAGAGAATGTAAATAAGCCATATGGTGGCAGCCTTGTTAACTCACACAGAGCCCACTTTTCAGGATACAGAACCACCAAAGGTTATTATAGAATTCACCTAGTTGGGAGTTTGTGTAACTATTATTGGTTTGTTCAAGAGACAGATTTTTTTTCCTCTGTATCCCTGGGATCTGGCACAGTACCCAATCCAGGGAATATCAAAGCTTTTTCTTTAGGTAAGCAGTTTGTGCCATCCAATTCTCAAGTTAGACCAATATAGGGAAGGCAGCTTATCAATGCTTCTAAATGGGACTGCGGGGAGGGATTTCACCAACTCCTGGGGACATATCCTTATTTGTCAAACTTGGAGAGGAGGTGCTACGAGCATCTAGCGAGTAGAGGCTAGGGATACTGCTAAACATCCTGAAATGCACAACAAAGAATTAACCAGCCTAAAATGTCAACAGTGCCAAAACTTAGTAACCCTGTGCCTAGTCTAACTGCAGATAGTAAGGAAAACACTAAGCTCAACCCTAAACTCTGTTCCAAAAACAGACCAAAGGAGGCTAAAATTATAGGAAAAGTTGGGTTCAGACTCCTTCGGACACACATCCCATCAGAGGAAATTACAACTCGTGCTGAAGGAACCTAGAAAAAAAAAAAGTGACAGGGCTCAAATGAAGGGAGAAGAAAGAAGAAGCTCTATATGTAAATACTCAGTGTAGGAAGAACAAAAACAATACACAGGGAAGAATATGGAATGTTCCCACCAAATGTGAATAGGCCCAGTCAATGCCATTTATTATACATGTTGAACAGTCTCTGAGACCCAAGGGCTCCCATATGAAGTTTTTTTTTTTTTCCTTTTTCTTTTTTGCATCAAACAGGTTCTTCCAAGAGCCTGCTCACAAGGAAGAAAAAAAGAAAAAGAGTAATCCTCAATAAAATGAAACAAACAGGAAAAGCTGAACAGTCTACATATGAAAAACAAAAGTTAAAAAATTCACCAGACAAAAACCACACCAAACACTCATCCCATTTAATTTCCTATTACATGCACTGAGAGAGCCAAGAACATCAGGCCCCAATGCAGCAATACTCTGAGGTTCTAGCTCAGGCTCCCTCTATGTGACAAATTCATGCACACACACCCGCACATACCACTGACCCAGGCAGAAATACACATGCATGAGCAGGTGGTAGAGAATCACAGGGAGGTTGGGGGGGAGGGGAAGAGTGCTATCAACTGGACACTGGGGACCCAGAGAACCCTTCTGCTGCAGGCTAAGCAAGAGTCAAAATTAAAACAAAGGGAAAACACAGGATAAATGTAGGATGCTCAGAGAAGAAATTGGACAGATGAAGAGGGAAAGATACAGGGGGAGTTTTGGGAAAGCAGCCTCAGAAGAGGTTTTTCTTTATTGGGAACTCAGGCAGAGGTCCTGTGACTCCAGTGATATACTGAGGCTAAAGGAATATGCCACAGCATTACCTCTGCATCCTGTGCTCTCTCCCAAAGTAGAGGGAAACCACAGACACCCACCTCTAGCCCTCCCCACTGCGGCTCCTAAGGACTTTCCCAAGTACCCCCCAAAAAATGACCCCCCCCCACACACACACACAAAGTTAGCAAAGAGCCAAGCACAGAAAGCCTCAGTAACTCTTCTTGGTGGAACCAAAGCCAGAGAAGCCCATCACAGCTGCCATCTCATCATCCTCCTCAAATGTCAAGTCCTCCTCAGCCCTCCTTTTCTTCTCCTTCTGTTTCTCTTTCTTGTAGGCTTTGGCCTTTTCCTCCTAGGGGGGAAATCACTCAGAATCAGTTCAGACTCCTGAGCCAAACGTTGAAAGAGACAAGTGAGTATCAAGATTCCTTTCTATCTTTAGGAGAAAATAGTTAAAGACAAGTAAAATTTCAAGAGCAGAGGAAAAGCCACAGTAAAGATTTAAAGAACAACAAAGAGCAGTTTTAGCCTGTGAAGAGCACTTCTCAGTCCTACATTCCAATTCATCTCTAGTTCTTAAAAAGGTTATGGAAGCAAAACCACGTAACAGCAACTATTATCCTGGGGCACACAGTACATGCCAGTAATTGATCTAAACGCTTTATGTAGATTATAAACTAAGATCTCTCTCTAATGGGAAAACTGAGGCATGGAGAGGTTATATAACTTGCCCAAAAGTCATAGCCAGTAAGTGAAGGAAAGAGAATTCTGACCCTGTCAGCCTGGTTCCATGTGCCTCTTGGGGACTAGGTGTATTTAATCCCTCCTGTAGTAAAAAAAAATAAGTAGGCCCAGACAGTCCAGGAAAAAAAAAGGATAGGTTTACAGCCATATCCTTCAGATCACAAGAGTCCCAAACAAAGGCAATAAATGTTTCCCCCAGTATAGTGAAATTCAGGATACAACTATCCTCTGGGGGTGGGAGTGGAATGAAGAAGAGAGCCTCCTCATGATTCGTAACATAAAATTCAAAGCTGGGGGACAAAAGATGGAAAGATACCAGAGCCTTACCTCTTCTCTGAGCTCTTTCATTCTTTCCTCAAAATCATAATCTTTCTGTTTCTCTTCCATCTTCTTCTTGTTGACTTCAAAACGTTTCTTCACCTGATCCAAGGTGGAACGTTCCACACGCATAGACATGCCCAGATTTCGCTGATCTGGGTGGGATCAACAGTGAAAATGGTGATGGCATTACAATATCCTCAGCCCCTCAAAAAGTCTTTGACATTAAAAAAAAACAAAAAACCTTTTCATAAAATACACAGGAAAAATAATTATGACTGGAAAAAGAAACTCCCTTGGCTTTACTTGTTCCCAGAAGAAGCAGCTACAGATAGCAAGATGCAAGTGGCTTTCAACTGCCCTTACTGAGCAAATGCACACCAGTCAGGACAGCTAGGCCTTGGAGAAGACCTTGTTGAGAGCCTAGAACAGTGTCTCATCTCAGGGCCTCCAGAAACATTAGATAATGAAGTAAAGCATGCCCTGTACTGAAACTACTGGAGAAATTCTCAGGCATTAAAAAAAAATCCAACTGAAACCACTCTTTCCCCTACCCCACCTCCAAAACCCAGTCCCAGCCCTAGTCACAAACTACCTCCAAGCCTTACGTTTCTTTCCATTAATGTGATCCAGGAAGTTGATAGAGTCCTTCACCACACAGTCACAGACATTGCAATAATACCTAGCAAACAGAAGAAACAGCACTTGTGTCAAATCTAGCTCTAAGGTAATGTTTTCAACCAACAAACTCATATTTTTAGGTAAATTTTCTTTTTACAAGAAGAAGGTACTTCTCATTTTCATAAAGCATTACCTCTTGGAAGAGTATGGTAACCAACCTCCAAGATGGCCCCACAATGATCCCCAAATTCCTGGTATTTGTACCTTGGGCAGTCCCCTCCCAGTTCGTACTAGGGTTGATCTGTGACCAAAAGAATATCTCAGGGTGCCTGGTGGCTCAGTCAGTTAATCATCTGCCTTCGGCTCAGGTCATGATTTCAGGGTCCTGGGATTGAGCCCTACGTTAGGCTCCCTGCTCAGTGGGGAGTCTGCTTCTCTCTCGCCCCTCTGCCTGCTCATGCTCTCTCTTTCAAATAAATAAATAAAATTTTAAAATAAAAGTTCAAAAGTGATGCGATAGCACTTCCAAGATTAGGTCATTTTTTAAAAAAAAAAAAAGGTGGCTTCGGTCTTAGTCTGTCTATGTCTTATTCTGGGGAAGCCGAAGCCACTTGCTTTATTGTGAGCAGCACTACAGAGAGGCCCATGAGGCAAAGAACTGAGGCCTCCAAAGCACTGTCACATGAAAGAGCTTTCAATCAAATCAATCAGGCCCACCTACGCCTCAGATGAATGCAGACCCAGCAGACATCTTCAATGAAGCTTTGTGAAACCCTAAGCCAGAACCACAGAGGTTAAGTAAGTCTGTCCCAGATTACTTACCCACAAAAATTGTGAGCTATCTGCTGTTGTATGCCACTAAATTTTGGGTGAATTTGTTAATTTACACAGCAACAGATAACTAATACAGAGAGAAATGATGTTTGTGGGTTTTCTAAGCAAACCAGAGACATCTCACTCACTGCCGTTTTTGCCCTCCTGCTAGAAGACCTAAGTGAACAAAGAAGTAATGGTGGGCAAAACAGACTAGAGCTCTCGCAGGACACTTCTTCCCATGGGTTATAGTCTTGGTCTAGGAGGAAGGTGTACGATCAAGCAATCCATAACAACTACAACATACTCTGCAACCAGTCTGGAACCTCAACTCCCTTTATTCACCATCAACAGCTCCTAGGCTCCATTCTAGCTCCACCTATTCTCTCCCCTAGAAATGTCCTTAGTAGTCCTTTCATTCATTTCTTCCTCTTCCAAGATATTAAAAAGTAGTGATAGCACTAATATGAAGAGGCCTACAGAGTGGTCTCTCCTAGAGACACTACTATGTTTAGTTGAGGCCTTGGGTGGGGAGGAGAGAAAAACAAATATAAAGGTAGAATTATAGGTAACATGGTTGTTCTCCTGGGGCCAGAGAACCTCCTCAACACTTGCTAAAACCAACATAGACAGTTTATTTGACCTATTTCTGGCTCCTGAGAAAGACGAAAAGTCACTTACCCTCCCATCTCAGATTGTGGCGTGGTCTTGGTAATGACAATTGTCTTCCCAAGCTTGGATTCCAGGTCCACCTTATAGTCTCTATGCCGGAGAAGCTCCCGTTTGACTGGCTGCACTGGTTTTCCTAAAATATAATAGAGAAAGAAGTCCCTTTAATATTACAGTTTCTTAAGGAGAAAGGAAAAAAAAAAATGCATGAAACCCAAAATACAGATGTCTACTCTCATTTCTTTCTTGAGCCTGAACCAAGGGACACAATGAGCACTTCTAGCAGCAGCTAGGGGAGAATCTCAACACAGGAAAAATGATAAGCAATCCCTAAACTCTCTATAGAGTTTTTAACACTTTAAAACCAACAAGTCTAAAACCAAAGTTTTTTATTTATTGATTAACTGAATTGAAGAGAGTTCCTAATTTTCACAAAAAGCAAACTTTTAAAAGAAAAGCAAGGAGGGGCGCCTGGGTGGTTCAGTCGGTTAAGCGTCTGCCTTCAGCTCAGGTCATAATCCCAGGGTCCTGGGATCAAGTCCCACATCAGGCTCCCTGCTTGCGGGGAGTCTGCTTCTCCCTCTGCCCCTCACTCTGCTCATGCTCTCTCTCTCAAATAAAATCTTTTTAAAAAAAAGATTAAAAAAATTAAATAAAAGTAAGGATATTCAGTAATACTTTCGGACAGATACCCCAAGCATAACACAAAAGCAATCTTCAGAGGGCTGGGGAAAATTTTTAATAGGGGACCAACATTCAGGAAATACCTGTTACATACTCGGCACTATTGTACAAATTACATCAAAACTAAAAGGATTAGTGTGTGCAAGGTGGTGTGAAAGTAAAGTGAAAGAAGAATGCGTATGTTTGAAAACAGATAAAAAAGTAAGTTCTTTTTGTATAGTGGAATCTCTATCTCGGAAAGGAGAACCAACTCCCTGACACTATACAAAACATAGAGAACAGTACTACTAAACCACCAGCTGAAACAATCACACATTCCTTGGTGAGTACCCTTGCTCTTCTCAGACTATAGGGCAAGGTCTTGATTGGGCCAATTATGATGTTCTTCCCCTTAAGTGACTTTAAGGGAAAGAGTATCTTCAATAGCAGTAATGCACAGCAGCAAAATAGTCCATTTCTCTATCAAGGATTCTACTCTCTTCTTTGTACTTGAGAAAAGTAGGAAATGAGCTAAGCAAAAGGACGGCAAGAAAGCAGAGGAAACGGAGCTAGAAAACACCTCAAAACCGCTTCAGTCCATTTCCTCGCTCTCATTTTTATACATTAAAAAATCGAGAACCAGGGAGGCAACACTCTGCCAGAGGATACACAGGGTATGAGGACCTCGCATTTCAACTCCCCACCCGCTCTCCAGCTATGGCTTCGCCTCTACGATACCCGTAACCCTTGTTGGAGTAGGCACCCACCATCCTTCTTTTCTCTCTCTTCCGTAAGCCTCTTCTCGGCGAGCTTCTCATACTCATCTTTGTCCCACTTTCGGCGAAAGTCCAAGTTTTTTGTCTGTAGGGAGAAAAGCGCTCAAGATTCGGGCTAATCATATCCAACCCCTAGAGAAACGGAGAGAACCCTGTCCACGCTGGCAAGGCGACCCCCGGACTGTAGAGAGCGAAAACTCTCCGGACCGCACCAGGAGGCTGAGGTGGCCTCAGGACCCCAACCCGAAAGACCTCCGGGATTCCACAGACCCTGCGCCAGGACCCCACAGGGAAGCTCTTGAACCCAGGCAACTGGACCGCAAGGAGGTGTTGAGAAGCCAGTCGGGTGCAGGATATTCCGCGCTGAGAAGCCACCCCCTGCCCCCCGATCAAAGCCTCCTTACACACAACACCTACCCCGCTACCCGACGCCATCTTCACTGCGAAGTGAATGGGAAGCCGGAAAATGACGTAAAAAGCGGCCCTGAGCCGTAAAGCAAGCTCGCCCTCCAATAAGCTTAGAGTCTCGCGTTCTAAACGAGCTAAGGACTGGAGAGCTTCTAAAATACGCTTGTCGGCCCCTCCTCTGCCCCGAGGAAATGGCGCGTGCGCATGGAGACCGTGAAGCAATACGGAAGTAAGGGCACCTACAAATGGTTTTTGCCTTGGCTTCCTAAACAAGCATCGAAGGGCTGATTTAGTTCAACTCGTCTATTTTACAAACAAGGAAACGGTTCAAATCAGTGCCCTCTGATCTAGTCTAATCAATTTTGCGTGCGTTTGCCAAGAATTTCTAAATTTTCTTTGAGGCTGCATTGGTTATCAGGAGCCTCTAGCTGCCCCATTACCTGTATGCACTAAAGATATGGCCCCGACACCAGTGTTTTTAAAAGTTGCAGCCTTCCCACAGCATACGTAGAAAGCGTTTTTTTTGCACAGTCTCTTTATTTTTGAAGCAATGCTATCACCCTTCAGTTAACTCATCTTTCTTCAGTGAAGAACTTTATAGTCATTCAATCTATAGGGCACAATTTAATCAACATGATTGGACTTGGAAAGGCCAGTCATCAGCAACACTGTAGGGTGAAGAACTCTGGCAGATGGCTCACTATATGTTGATTTAGACATGACTGTGTCTCCAAGTTGGGGGGGGGGGGCGGGCAGTGGGGAGCACTGGGGAACTGTGACTGCTCCCTTCACTGAATACAGAAGCATCAGCCTTGGGAGGTTGCTCCTAGCTCTTAGAATTCTCCAGTGTACACTCCAGCGTTTTCTACGGCCTATGCAAACCAATCTCCTGATAACAAATCACCCAAACTATATATAATATTTTATTTAATATATTATCCAATCACTTCTAGAACAGCCACCTCCATAGGAGAACATGGAATATAGTCAAGCAGTAATTCTGGCACAAGAAATGGTCTCCAAAATCTCAAAAGATTAGACCATTTTGTCAGTCACCTATTAAATTCAACATTCAAGATTACTAAACAGACAGCCTCACTCTATTAACAGTGGATGGACTAGAGAGATGCCACATCAAAATGAGCACTGCTGTGCCCTTAGGATAGCATATTTGTCCTCAAACAAAGGAGAAAGCAGCCATTTTCCCCTTCCTTGCTGTCTCCCAAAACTCCCTGGACAAGCCAAGGGCAGGTTGTGGACAAATTTCCCAGAATCTGGTTCAGAAGCCATAGTGGAAGGTCAAGTATCTGTCTGATCTCAATGGTCTTAGCCTGAGGCAACTTTCCTAGAGCCTTGCTCAAAGCAACCATCTCTGCACCTCTTGGCAGCATTCAATGGCACTTCAAATCTGCCATCTGTCTCTGCAGTTAGAGCATGTCTCTTTCACATACCAGCCATCTGCATCCACGCAGAATAGCTGCTCTCACTAGCCCAGGAGTCCTCAGGGCCTCCTACAGTTCTGTACCCAGAAAGGATGGAGGAGGCCAAGGAACTTGTCACCGATCCTGGCCAGCAGTTGTGAATTCCATCAGGAACTCAGTCCTAGAAGAAACATCCTCTAGAAAAAGCAGCAGATGGCAAGCAGGCAAGGATCAAGACTCAGATAGTGTCTTCTGAATTTCAGCCACAAGATTTTCTCGTTTAATGGCCACCTGTAACATAAGAGAACCCTCATGTGACAAACTAGAGAGTGATACTAGCTTCTTAGTCACTGCTTTTCCAGATTCATTTTACCCTGCATCTGCTCCCACTACTTATATAACCAGTAGAAAGAAATGTGGGCTTCAAGCTGAACTAGAGAATGTATGCCCTCAAGACTAGAGATTCAAACACCTGGGGCACCTGCCTGGCTCAGGTGGTAGAGCATGTGACTTTTGACCTTGGCATTGTGAGTTCAAGCCCCAAGCAGGGTGGGAGAGATTACTTAAAAAATAAAGTCTTTAAAAAGAGAGACACAGAGAGAAAGGGATTTTCAAACACCTGATCTGTGTCTATTTTGTTGGATTGGTCTCAAAATACCCATTAAGATTTCATCTGTCCTTCTGCCCACCTACCTAATATTCACTGGCTAACGGGTTGCCTGCGTGGGTCTTCATTCATCTTTACCACTATTAACCATGGAGACATTTCCTTAGCCATAAGATACATATTTCTTAAAGAATCTAAGAAAAGTAGAAACACTTGGTGCCTTCTATTTCCCCCACTCACCTCCTCCCTGCTGGCCACTGAACGAAGCTTGATTACCCCTTCTTTCAGTTCTTGCTCACCAATAATGACCACCAGTGGAATACCCATGTGCTCACAGTAGTGCAGTTGAGTTAGTAGTTTAGGGTTGTTCTTATACAGCAGCTCTGCCTGAAAAGGGTGAAGACAGAATAAGGGGCTTAGAAGTGACCACACTCCTCAAGCATTTCCAAAGAAATAAGGGGCTAGCCTTCCTACCAGAAGACACTTTAGTGAAGACTAGAAAGGTCTTGAGTTCCACCTTAGGCTTTACGTAGAAATGGCCACCTGAATGGCCAAACATACCTAGACGACTTGGATATCAGTTCTACCATACCTTGATCCCAGCATCCCAAAGCTCTGAAATTAGCTTCAACCGTTCATGAAGAAAGTTCTTCTGTGGTGTGGCCACAAACACTTGAGTCTCTGTGGTCCGTATCTTCTGACCAGAAGTCTGATTAAAGAGAGAGAAGAAAATAAAACTAATAAAAAACTTCCTGTGCATCAGTAATTAAAACAAAAGACAAAAAGAATCATCAGGAAAACAGTCCAACTGTATATCCACAAACATGAGTTTTTAGTCTCCAGCCCCACTCCACTCCTACCTAGCACCTACCTTCAACCTCTGTTCCACAATGGCGAAGATTCGCTCCACCCCAATACTGAGCCCCACACACGGCACCTTGCGGCCCTTGGGGTCAAACATGCCCACCAACCCATCATAGCGTCCACCAGCAGCCACACTGCCCACATTGAAGGACTCCTCTGCCTGAGCTGGGGTCTGTAGTAGCACCGCTTCATAGATCACTCCAGTATAGTAGTCCAGTCCCCGAGCTAGGCTTAGGTCAAAACAGATCTGTGGGAACAAGTATATTAAGTCCCAAAAGACTCAGGACACTGAAAACCCCAAAGTTCAGCAGGAAGTCCACACTCCCAACTCAGCTTACCTTCTCAGCAATTCCAAATAAAGTCAGGTATTCAAATAGCAGCTTCAAGTCCCCCAAGCCCTCTAGGGCCTGCTTGTTCTGGGATAGTCTAGAATCCTGGAACATTTCCTCTACCAAGGACACCCCACCTGGGGAGACATATGGGGAGAAATAAGTCTGTGCTTTCACCCAGATGTGTTTTACCCAAATTTATTCTTAATATGCTCCAGCTAATCCTCTTCATTTTTTTTTTTTAAGATTTTTTATTTATTTGATAGAGAGAGAGATAGCGAGAGCAGAAACATAAGCAGGGGGAGTGGGAGAAGGAGAAGCAGGCTTCCCACTGAGCAGGGAACCTGATGTGGGGCTCGATCCCAGGACCCTGGGATCATGACCTGAGCCGGAGGCAGATGCTTAACGACTGAGCCACCCAGGTGCCCCTCCTCCTCATTTTCTTAGTTAAAAAAACAAACAAACCAAAAAAAACCATCCTGATCTCTTATGACCAGACTCTCCTCCGCCGCCTTTGCCATCTGAAGACATAAAGTTGTTATTACACTAAGTAAAAGGGAAATTAAATTCAGGCCAGGTTCTGGCACTTAGCTTATCTTTGGAAAGGAGCTGTTTCTGAGGTAGAAGTTGTACACACATCCCCCTCACTCCAGTTCTATCACAGAGCTCTGAAAACTCTGGTTCTTACCATGACATTGGACATAGTCACCAATTCTATCAGCCACTTCAGGAGCCAGGCCTTTCTTTGCCACCATCTCATGTCTCACATCATTCCAAGATATCTGTGCAAACACCCAAACATTAGCCCAGTTCCAAGATCCTTCCTCATCTAACTGGAAATGTCATGAGTAGCTAACACTACACTCAACAAAGTCAGAGGCAGGTTAGGAAATGCAGCCACAGTCAACCCACTGCACAACAAAGCTCAGGTCTTGCTTTGGACTATCTCCTTACCTTCCCCAGACAAAGCTCACTTCTAGTCACTGTCTCCTTATTTTTCTCTAGGGGTACAGATTTGAGGGCAGAGCAGAGACCCTGATATAGTCTACTGAAGCATGTCTTTTTAGTTACCTTGTCTAGTTTGTCTATTGAGGAGCAGATGGCATGGAACTTGCTTTCAGGAACACCACAGACAGCCAACAACCCATCCAAAATCCGCCGATCATTGACCTGTGAACTCAGCGGAAATAACCCAAGTGCCTTGTCAATGCTTTTTCCCTCAAAACAATGGCAGTCCCTATTAGCCTATCTCGTAAAAAGGACAGAAAAAAAATTTCATAGCATGACTATATAGATATAGATGAAATACAACAGCTGTACTGAGAAAGTCCCAGGTCTACAGGCTTAAAGGGTGGGGTCACCTATGTTTTAGGAGAGCATCAGGCCAAATCCAGACTTCTCCCCTCAGTCCTCAGTCCTGGTCTCACCTTAATGAGAAAGTCCCCCAGCTGCAACCCACTTAGGATTTCACACATGATCTTCAAACACTCTGCATCAGGGATCATAGGGTCAAACTGACCAGCAATGTCAAAATCCTGCAGCAAAGAAAAAGGGGGAAAAAAATCTTCACTGAGCAGCCAGTTCCCAGGTTGTAGCTCCCCAAACTATCAAACCATGCTGCCCACATCTGGTCACTTACACACTGGCAGAACTCCCTGTAGCGGCCTTGGACTATGGTTGGGCTCTCTCGCCGCCACACCTTTCCAACTTGGTAGCGTTTCATCTTCTTCACTTTATTCATGGCCAGATAACGAGCAAAAGGGACCTCACATAAACAGGTTAAGGAGAAAGCATACTGCATCCAAAGCTTAGGCCCAGTGTAAAGACATCTGGGAGAACTGGGCCATTACCAATTGGATATCATCCACTAGGATGAAAACAAGAACATTCTCTGTCTTGTTTCCCACTGTCCCAATGCCTAGCAGTGCTTGACATTCAATATATATAAAGGAATGAAGGAATCCCACCAAGCAAAAGTGCAAGTTCAGTAAAAAAGCAGGAGAAGCTGGCCTGCTGCCCACTGAATGAGATAGAAATGACCCAAGAACTCCAAGTATGGGCTATTCCTTCCCATTCAGATCAATTCTCAGCCATTTCAAAATAGTCAAGTTTCAGAACCTGGATTTGCCTGCAACTTCTATGTCAATGTCTTTTCACTTCTTTTCTTCTACCTTTTTTTTTATGTCAATGTTTCTTTTTTTTTTTTTTTAAGATTTTATTTATTTATTTGACAGAGAGAGGCACAGCGAGAGAGGGAACACAAGCAGGGGGAGTGAGAGAGGGAGAAGCAGGCTTCCCGCCGAGCGGGGGGCCCGATGTGGGGCTCGATCCCAGGACCCTGGGATCATGACCTGAGCTGAAGGCAGACGCTTAACGACTGAGCCACCCAGGAGCCCCTATGTCAATGTTTCTTAAAGTATAGGTTGAGAACCACCTGCCTCTTCATGACCCCAGGTGCCTGTTTAAAATGCAGACTGCTGAACCCCACTCCAGGTACAGAATTAATATCTGGGGCTAAGGGCCAGAAATCCGTATTTCTGATACACAGTAAAGTTAAATGACAGTGCTCCAGGCCAGGCTCTGCTGGCAGAATTGCCTTCTGGGAGGAACTGGAAGTAAAGGCTGCTGCAAACAGACCTATGGGATCCCAGAGGCACTGTTGTTCCCTTTTGTCAAAGGAAGCCCTCTGGGTTTGGAAAGAGATGTCAGTCTCTAACACTCAGAACGATACAGTAAGGTCATAGCGCAGGGACAATAGCTCTCCACCTTGATCCTTCAGATCATAGATTAGCCCAGAGTCCTCTCCATACTTCTCAGTGAGCATTTCCTGCAGGGATCAAACAAAAACCACCACAGTTCAAAGGAGGACTCCAGAACACAGGCTAAAAGTTCTTTGGGAAACTGAAGGCAGATAAAGAACTGGAGTTCCAGCACTCTCTTTTCTCCTCTTACCTTAAGCTCAAATGCTGGAGTATCTAATCTCTTTGCTCCATGACGTTTAAAGCAGCCAACAACCATATCAAGAATTTTCTCCCTCACAACCATCTGCTGGGGACTAAGATCTCTGGTGCCCTAGAAACCAAAAGCAGCCATGGTGAAAACACAGACAAAAAACAAGTCCATTTAAGACAAAGAGTTAAACAACATCTATAATCGAAAGTCGGAAGTTGAAATCTCTTTGAGCTCAGTTGACTGAGCCCTATCAGTATCTCAAGAATAGTGAAGTTTTTTTTAAAATTAGTCTCAAAAGACATTAAAAGGGATTAGGAAGAGACAAGCAGAGCAGAGGGCAGAGCAGAAGGCAGTCTCCAAGGCACTCTAATAGGACAGGGTGGGGTAAAGGGCATTACCTTTGGTGTCTTGATAATAAAATTTGATTTCTCTTGATGTGGTTTCAGTTGGGATGTTAACACTGCCTCTGAAACCTGGCAGAAAAAGGAATGTGAGATGTGAGCCACAAGACTGGCCAGACCTGGGACATCTCTGGCCCTACGGCCCGACCTGCAAAGACATCTGGCCCTGAGCAAGACAACCTGAACACTGTTTTATCTACTTCAATCTCGGCCTCCCTCCAAAACATACATCATATTTGCACTATGTACTTAATACACATGAGATCAGGTTTTTATCATATTTGGAGTTTTTAAATGTCTGGAAAAGCTTAAGCACCGGAGAACAATGAAGGCACAGAACAATCTCCACCACTACTTCCACCAACCATCTAGGAGTAGGAATTAGTATGATCTCCAATTCTTAGTTCCTACTCAAAGAGCAAAAACATGAACATGAATTTTTAATAAGGAAGCAATGGTCATTAGGCTTAGAGACATGGAAAAAGTAACCTAAAGACAGAAGAGAACAAGCCCAAAACACACAACATGCTTGTGGAGTGACCAAGAATGGATATCCAAATTGAACTAAAAAATCAGACTGGTAGGATGCTGTAACGAAAATTAATAACAAAAGATCTGAACCCTGCTGTTCATAATAGCACAATGCATCTGCTAGGGTCTATGCCAAAGTAAAAATGAATTGGTAATTTTGTTTATTAGCAGCAGGCTGTATGCCGGCCCTTCCAGAAATACAGAGGATGTGGTAGTTCCATATTTTGGCGGATTCTCTCCTCCAAAGGATGGCAGTTCAAGTCCACAGTGCTTCCTCTGCAATTCCAAAATCCAAAAATCTCTAAAAACCGAAAAGTGGTTTTGGGGTTTCTTTATTTTCAGGGAGGGGGAGCTCATTTTGAGGTAACTCTAATGTGAACTCAGTCTACCTGTGGTCTTCAGTCATCTCACTTAATAGGGATATTCATATACTTTGCTTAAGAATGTGTTTGACCCCAAGAGGTTCACATAAGTGACTGTGGACTTCTATTAAAAAGACTCCTTTACTATGTATCCGTAGATAAGTCATTTAACCTTGCAGCTCTTTCCTCAACTGTAAAATGGAAATAATCCCAATCTCTCAAGATTGCTATGAAGATTAAATGACAAAGCGTCTAAAATGCTTAGCTCAGTACCGGTAGACTACTCAAAAAAAAACCCGACTGTACTACTGGACTGCAGGCCGCGAGTCCATGCTTTCAGACCTTGATATCCTGCCCCAACAGACCACTCAGTCTGGCTCACCTGGCTATGAAAATGGACCTCCCTGATGCACACAAGACCGGACGGCCGCAGGAGCTGGTTGAACAGTGAAACCCAGGCCCTCATGTGCAGGAGTCCGAACGGGGGCATCGCGTAACTGGAGGCAGCCTTTCCGAGACAGGAGCCAAAGGACCTGAGAACGAGGCAGGTCGGACCCCACCCCAGTAAGGGTGCAGAGCGCTGTAGAGGTTAGCCGTAGCACCAGCGAAAATGCGATCACTTCCGCACTTTCCAAAGCCTGAAGGATGGCTCCGAACCTCTCAAGCTCCGTTTTAGCTTCAGCACTTCCGGTAGTAGCCGGAAGTGGTTGTTGTGCTCGGCGGAGGCTCTCTAGGCGTGTGGGCCAGTGACTCGATAGCCGGAAGTAGTCCGAGCTGAGGCTGCGGCACCGAGGGCCGATCCAGGCAGGGCTCATCGCCGGTTGGCCGCAGTATGGCTGAACGTGCGGCACTAGAGGAGCTAGTGCGACTTCAGGGAGAGCGCGTGCGGGCCCTCAAGCAGCAGAAGGCCAGCGCTGAGCAGGTGCGACCCAGGTGGCAGGGGAGAGGCCAAAGTAGAGCCAGGGAGGACATAGAGCTGGGTGGTCTGCATAGAGGAAAGATGTGGGAAAAGGGACCGGGCCGGTAGGGAGAAGCAGAGCCTGGGTGGGGAGGTGGCCGGGGTAGGACCCGAGAGAAGCAAAGCTGGGCCTGAGTCGAGAGATCGGCCCCAGATTCTGATGAGGGAGGGATACTGAATGAATGGCTGAGGAGGGAAGGGAGTGGCAGACGTGATAGCCCAGCACCTACTTTACCTCCACAGATCGAGGAGGAGGTGGCAAAACTACTGAAACTGAAGGCGCAGCTGGGCCCTGATGAAGGGAAACAGAAGTTTGTGCTCAAAACCCCCAAGGTAAATATAATTCCTTTAAGGAGAAAGCCCCTAACCCCACTCCCAAGGGTGGATGCCCCTGCTTCCCTGAACAGTTGCTCTGGGCGCTGGGCTGAATTGGAGTCTGCGTCATTCTGGGATAGCAAAGTGATGGCAGAAACTAGGCCCGCTGGGTGCTTAGGGGAGTACGCCAGCTACTGCTACTCCTTCTTTCATTCAGTAAATATTTATTGAGTGTTTACTATGTGCCTAGCACCGTAGGAAGCAGTGAGTATGCCATGGTGAACTATATAGCCTGCCCTCATGGAGCTTACCTCCTACCGAAGGGAACAGACGTAGGACAAATAATCCCACTCTTGAAGATGTAATTATAAATTGTGATAAATGATATAAAGAAATAATAAGAATTCTCCGAGACAAATAAGAACTAGAGAGTCTGAAAAAACCTCACTGAAGAAGTGATATACTAACTGACCGAAGATGAATGGGAGTTAGCCAGGGAAAGAGCGTGAGGAAGATAGGTTCAGGTAGAGTATGGAAATCCTGAAGGAGAAAAGAGCCCTGGTAGTTTCAAGGGTAGAACCTTGAATACAGAGGGAGAGTGGAGTGGATTGGAATGGGTAGAACCAAACACAGAGGGAGAGTGGAGTGGATTGGAATGACGTTGGAGATTACTAGCCCAGTCTCCAGGATTTCAGTTCAGATGTCCGTCTTTGTAAGTTCTATAAACAGAATTATTTACCATTTCATCTGGGTTCCCTTGGCACTTCATATATATCTCTACTATTGCATTTCTTGGTGACTTTCAATTATTCACATGGTTTATTTACCCTGAGAGGCTGAGACTATGTGTCTGGAACTGAACAGATAATTCAATAATTGTATGTGGAACTGGATTCCAAAGGAGAAGGGTCTTCCTTGTGTTGAGGTGTCGCCTTTTTAGGTTCATTCTTTGGGCTCCTAAATCCATTAAGCTAGTCTTTTCTACACACAACTAATTTCAGATGTTAAAGAGACAATGTAAAATCACAAAGCAGTGATTATCAATAGTTTTTCATACTATTTAGTGAAAAATTAATGGGGAATTTGTGATAGATCAGGCTGGCCTCACTTAAACCCAGTGATCAATCTTAACATCACTAAAAGCAGGGCAACCAGACATTATGTTTCTCCTGATGTGATGCAATAAGAAGTACACAGCCCCACCTATGAAGTATTCTTGCAAGAAAAATTGAACCTGAATCTAATCGGGATTCTGACCTACCAGTTTACCAGAAATATGGGAGATGGAGGAATGTATTAAATGATACATTGAATATACTGTTAATGAAATCTAGAATATGAAAAGTTCTTTATGACAAAAAATTCAATTCTCTCAACAAATAAATGACTTTTTTTTTTTTTAAAGGAAAGGAAACTTGTGGATTAGACAAGAGACAAATACAGTGAATGGGCTTCATTTAGAATCTAATTCAAACAAGTCAACCATAAAAAAGTATTCTTGAGGCAATTGGGGAAAATTAAACATGGCTTGGGTATTAGATAATATGAAAGGGTTGCTGTTTGTTTTGTTGGTTGTAATAAAGGTATTGTAGTGTTTCGGCTTTTTTTAAACCTTGTGCACTAGAGAATCAGACTGAAATATTTAGGGACAAACTGATATAGTGTCTGGATTTACTCTAAAATACTCCAGGAAAAAAAAAAAGTTGGGGCTTAGATAAAGTAAAAATAACAGATGCTGATGGTTATTGAAGCTGGGTAGTAGATAACGTGCTGGTGTATGATACTATTCTCTATAATGTGTGTTTGAAAATTACTATTTGAAAAGAAAGTGAAATTATACTGGAGGGTTAATATCCACTTTAATTTGTTGAAACACATTCCTTGATGTGTGATTTATATTAACAGAAAACTCAGTATCATGGGGACAGGACTCTTTCAAGAGGTTTTTATGGTCAAAATTATTTTTATGATTATACCAAAACGTTATTTGCCTTTGTGACCACATTTGCTATGAAGATGCAAAACTGGTGAGTAGAACTGCTGGTATCTTAGCATGAAACATGACAGTGGCCCTACAGTATTCTAATAGCCATCATGTTCTTTACTTTCATGCACTCGCGGTTAAAAAAAAAAAAATCAATTTTACTTAGGAATGTCCTTGATAAAACAGTAAAAATTACTCATTTTATTACTCAAAAATTACTCATTTTGAGTACACTTTTTTAGTATTCTGTGTGATGAAATGGGAAGTATACATAAAGCACTTCTGCTGCATTCCAAAGTAGGAAAAACGCTTGTGCCATAGCATGAATTTAAGCTAACTAACTACTTTTTTCACAGGACACCTTTTTTACTCGAAAGACAAACTGTTGTTTTAAAGATTTGGGTATTTGGCAGACATCTTGAGGAAAACGAAGTGAGCTTTGTCACCTCAAGGAAAACATCTGACAATATTTGTTGCCAGTGATAAAATTCAAACATTCAAGTGAAAGTTAGGATTTTAGGGAACTTGTATCTTTCCCCATGATCTAGACAGCTTCCCAGTATAGTAGTTAAAGACTTTCCTGGTGAGCTCTGTGTTGATATTAACAAATGTGTTTTCTGATACAATGAAGTGCGTAAATATTTGGAAGCTCTGTATAATTTATCAATGAACCAATATTTTCCACATGACCAATGTATAATGTTGTAAAATCACGCATGGGTACAAGATTCATTCAAAGTACAAGATGGAGTAATCGCTATTTTGAAAATTATGGTAAAATATATGTAACATGAAATTTGCCATTTTAACCATTTTCTAAAGATTTTATTTTATTTATTTATTTGACAGAGAGAGCAGCGTGTGTGAGAGAGCACTGAGGGGAGGGGGTGGGCAGAGAGAGAGAGGCAGACGCTTAACTAACTGAGCCACCCAGTCACCCCTTTTTAAACCATTTTTAAGTCTAGTTTGGTGGCATTAAGTAGGTTCACATTGTGTGGAACCATCACCACTATTCATCCCCAGAACTTTTTTTTTTATCATAACAAACTGACATTTTGCACCCATTAAGCAGTAACTACCCCCTCTACCCTCCCTCCAGTCCCCAGGTAACCATTGTTCTTTCTGTCTCTGTGAATTCTGGGTACCGTATATAAGTAATGGATTTTAATGTAACACTGTGAAAAGTTCATTGCAGTGTGAAGATTCCACACTGCAACCAATCTTTAAGAAACTGCCATTTGTTGGATTTTGGTGTAGTTTAAGAAGAATATCTACAGTTAGCTGAAAAGTTTATTAAAATATTCCTTCTTGGGGCGCCCGGGTGGCTCAGTTGTTAAGCGGCTGCCTTCGGCTCAGGTCATGTGTCCCAGGGTCCTGGGATTGAGCCCACATCAGGCTCCTTGCTCAGCGAGGAGCCTGCTTCTCCCTCTCCCTCTGCCTGCCGATCCCCCTGCTTGTGTGCACATACTTGCTCTCTTTCTCTCTCTCTGTCAAATAAATAAATAAAATCTTAAAAAAATACATATTCCTTATTTTACAATTACACATCTTTGTAAGGCTAGATCTTCTGTATGCAACCAGAACAACATCACAGCAGAATTGTATACATGCACAAAGCATGTATAAGAACCCATTTGTCTTCTGTTAGGCCAGACATTAAAGATTTGCAAAAATGTAAATCAACACCACCCTTCTCACCAAATTTTTTTTGTTTTGGGAAGTAGTTACATTTTCCTAAAATGTTATTTATGTTAACATGTAATGGATTTACTATTTGTTCACTGAATTAATAAATATTCTTAAATGTTCACAGTTTTAATTTCTAATACAGTAAGCTTTGATAGGTATAATCCACTTTGGGGTCCTTAATAAATAGTAAAGTTTAAAGAGGTCCTGAGACCAAAGACTTGAGAGTAGGGTGTAAACACCCAGATTAGAAGCTCTCATCGGGAAGAACAGCGTTCTAGTCCTGACTGCCACGAACCTGCTGAGTGGCCTTAGGTAATGATTTAACTTCTCAATATCCTGTAATTCATCCATAAAAGGTACCTGCCTAGCCTATGTCACAGGGCTATTAGAAACAAATTAGAGAACAAATAGTATTTATTAGAATTTTTTTTTAAGTTATGCTGGGGGAAAATGTTACTTATAAAATTTGGAATTCAACTAGCTAAGCCAGTTTGAGTTGGTTATATACCTTTCATCAGGTAGGTGTTTTCTCTTAGGAAGGGAAATGTTCTGGTATCACAGAAAAAGAGTTTTTAGGAAAACTACTCAGAAAATAGTGTGAAAGAAGAAAGAAAGAAAAGAAAAAGAGAAAATAGCATTCTAAGAATTCTAGAAAATAGAACCACGCTAAAAAGCGGATAGAATTTAGAAGGGTGATAGCAGATGGGTGTGATAATTACTAGGGAATTGTTTGTGCTTGCTTTACAACTCCGT